TTTTTTTTTTTTTTTGCTTGAGTCTGTTGCTAAAAGCTTGATGAAAATGGTGAGTAAAGATTCTAATAGTGGGCATCTTTTGCTAGCCCCCAAATGCAATGTTTAATTTTATGATGTGCCTTGTTAGCGTGACAAAGTGGCCAAAGGTGGGGTATATAATTAATATATGGTTCTCCCAAACACACAGAGCTATGTTTCTACTGGGGAATACACAAGAAACTAATTAGTGGCAAAGCAAGGAGACAGGGCTAAGAGCTAACCTAGATCAAATACAGCATGGCATGGAGGGCTACAAGGAATACACAAAGAAAATAACAAGGACAGACCGAGTTAGCAATGGAAAAACACACAGACAAAATATAAGACTAAAGGGTGGGCAACCTTATCTGACAGTTTCAGGGCTGGAAAAGAGCAGTCAGGAATCTATGAGATTGTGAATGGTGTGTGTGTGTGTGTGTGTGTGTGTGTGGAGAGGGAAACCCAGTGGAGACATGGGAGGCTGAAGCAGGCAGATGATCCAGATGACATGTTCTGAACGACATAATTCAGTTGAGTTGTAACTAAAACAGGCAGCCAGTGATCCAAGGAGATTTCAGCGGGGTGAGAAGAGGACAAGGCAAGGACCTGTTAGAGACATGGTGTCTGGATTGACAATCTGGCACTGAATGAAAGTCTGAAACAAGGTTTTATGGTGGAGTGTTTGATTGAATGCAGGTGAGCAGCCCCTGCGCAGATGTCCTCCTTTACTGCTGATTAAGTTGCAGATCTGTAATACACACAGAGAGAGGGAGAGAGTGAAAGACTGCCAGCAAATCAGAAGTGGAGACAGGAAGCCTGACAGTTGTTTGATTTTTCCAGCAGCTTTATCACCATTTAGCTCTGGTGTCTGAGATCATTGACTTCCTTACCGGTTGAGCCTCAGTATGTGCAGCTTCAGAACTGTGTGCCATATACAGTGGGGAGCAGTACTAGCACTCTAAACGGGGTTGTCCTGTCCCCTTTTCTCTTTAACCTATAAAGTACAGGCTTCAGTTCAAACATAGACATCTGCTATGTTGAACCGGAGTTTTCTGGTGACTCTGTAGTTGGATGCAATGGGAGAAGGATGTGACATTGTACCAGAGGATAGTGGACCATTGTGAAGACTGGTGAAAGATGAGCCATGTGCATTTCAACATGAGCAAATAAAGGAGCTGACTTTGGACTGTAGGAGATCCAGGACTCCTGTTACTCCTCTTTCCATTATTGGAGGCATGGTGGCGATAGTGCAGGAGTACAAATACCCCAGGATTCTACTTGTAGAGCAATCTGGTTTGTTCTGCAGCTCCCTATGAAGAGTCAGAGTTGTCTCTTTTTCTTGTGGATGCTCTGTTCCGTCACTGTCTGTGGATGATGTGGATGTTTTACGACTCTGTGGTGGCCAGTGCCATTTTCTATACTGTAGTACAAAAGGCTGAGGCTAGTCCAAGGTGGATGTGGGCAGTCTCCATTGAGTTGCAGAGGAGGATGTTGTCAAATTTCCTTTCTGTCATAGACTATGTCTCCAATCCTCTACATAGGGTTTTGGTTAGCCAGAGGAGCACATTCAACCAGAGACTCAGAATGACAAAGTGCTTAAAATGTAACAGGAAGCCATTCTCTTTGCTGCCATGACTCAGATGGTAGAGCTGGTTGTCCACTAATTGTAACATTGGCAGCTCCATGTGCTAAAGTGTCCTTGGGCAAGATACTGAACCTGAAGTTGCTCCCAATGGTGAGTGAGCACCTAGCTGAGGTTAACATGTACTATGTAAGTACAGATCATTTACCATTTCTGCTAGTTACATAGTTTATACAATCTACTGCCATTACTATCAACTTACATTTGAATTCTACTAAAATCGCTAACTTTCTGTATATCGCCATCAGTACACAAGGACAGGAAATGGGACCACAAGACAGGTCAACACTTCACAATAAAACAGAAAACTGATAATAACAGAATTTTAAGTAAAACAGAACAAAAGTCAGGGTTAAACAGATGAGTATGTGGATCCTTTGGATAACCCAATAAAACTCTTCTTTTTGATTTAGTGAGGATGACAAGGAGCATGTGATTTTAGCTTGAGGAAGGATGGGTTCAGAGCACTATATGACATACATTTTAATCCCAGAACAGGGAGGTGCAGTTTGTGTACTGTCGTGGTATAGTCATCATGGCTTAGTTGGAAGATGGTTTGATTTGCAACCTTTCTGCCCAGAACTCTGTGGATCTCCATGGGTACCATGTTGAGGTCCAACAGCTGTCAGGTCAGTTGACTGATGCTTTTACTCCAGAACTGGTGCCAAGCCAACGTCATTCTGGTGCCTTTTATGCAGACAGGTGCTAAAAGCTATGCTGCATCTGTTAATCATTGGTTTGTCAGAGTTTAAGTCAGATGTAGTTCTGCTAAAATTGTTTACCTTAACTGGACTCTCTAATCTCTCGTTGGACTGGTGACAAGCTTCGAAAACTATTAATGTGTTACAGAAATATGTCTTAAAGTTTGGTTCACTCATGTTGGTTGTTTAATAACTGAGCAAATTGTCTGTACTTCTATAATGCCTCTTTACTTACAATGTGTTCATTTACCCATTCACATACTCACTCACACATCAGTGAAGGCAGAGCTACCCTGCAAAGTACTTGCTTGCCATTTGAAGTAACTTAGGGGTCAGTGTTTTGCCATAAAACACTTTGGCATGTGAAGGGAAAGGGGTTAAACGGCCAAGCCTGTGACTAGTGAACAACCTTCTACCTGACCCATGGCTGTCCTACTTGGACTAATTTCAGCTTGAAGCTTCAAAAATAAAGACGTGATAAGGTGAGGAAAATCGTCAAGAGTAGAATTTTTGAGTTTTTTTTTTTTTTGGAGATAAAAATGAAAACTAGGAGTGGCCAGAGCCACTGGCCAAGGTCAGAGATCAAAGATGGCAAAAAGCAGAAAATAGCTAAGAGCAAAGAACAAAAGACAGCCATGTTCTTTTATGACTGCAGGATCTTGGGTGTATATTATTGGTAGAGAACGGGCCTTCCCAATTGAAGTGGGAACTTACTTTTTTGACGCTGGCAGGCTCCACCAGAGGACGTCAGAGACTAAGAGATTAATTTTACTGTACACAAATATTTAATTTGATCACCATGGCCAATAAATGTAGAATGATTCCAAACATATATTCCTACACATTACAGTGTAGGCTAAAGCTTCACACTTTCAAAAGTACATCGGTGAATGGAATGATATACTCTGTAAGACTCTGTAACTGTCAGAATGACTTTAATACGACTGATAGATGTTAAAGGGTCCACAGAAACTTGGCGCCAGGAGAACTGAAGGCTTGAGTGGAGGCTGCCACAGAGCTGTAGTTCCAAGAGGATTCCTCCAGTTTAGAACTGAAGAAGCGTCTTGGAGGAGAGATCAAATGTCTTTAGGATCTGAAAGAGAAGTCCAGTTGTGTTTTGCTGAGGCTCCTAGAGTCTGTGAAAGTGGTCAAAACCTGAAAACCTCTGAAATCGTTTGCGTCCATTTACAAGCTTTCAGGAGTCATGAAGAATCCAAAGAAAGTGATGGTCGAATTCAAACTAGTCTGCTTTGACAGACAGTTGGTTCTCCAACAGCCACTGGGAAACCTGCTGGACATGCTGGATATGTTCCCTCCAATTCTTAGAGAAGATGAGGACATTGACTAGATACACAAAAACACAACACGGCGCTGACCAGGGACTGAAAGACACAGCATTAGTTATATCAAAGGGAATGACCAGGTACTCGTAGAAGCCACTAGTTGTATTAAAATCAGTCTTTCACTTGTTTTCCTCTGTTCAAAACAAGATGAGCTTTCCTGAGATCTAGTGTTAGGAACATGATGGCACTTTGTAACAGTCTTCACCCGACTATGTTCAGTGCTATGAGATGGCATATGTTGTGATTTGGCCCTATATAAATAAAAGTTCAATGAAAATTTAACTGAGCTCAGAAGCCGTAGAAATGAGTAGAAGAGTGTAAGTGTTTTTAACAATCACTGTCGCTCACTGTCACTGCCATCCTCTATATAACAAGAGGAGGCAGACTGCTGTTTCCCATAGTGAAGGGGATTTTGAAAACAGTAACACAATGATAGTGGAAGGAGGAGAGAGAAAGATAAAGAAGAGAAATCTGCGTGAATTCTACCCTGCACATTGCTTCTGAATATTTGGACTTTTTTGTTCACTTGATGTGTTTTTATGCACAGGCCTCAGTGTTTTTAAAACAGCACTTAGAACTCGGATTAAGATAAACCGATCATGTAATCACTGATCTAAAGCTTTTTGTTAGAACCAACTGGTTTCAATATGGAAACTATGAAAGGTATTTTAGGTATGATGATGTTTAATATGTAAGGTACGGCTTACAAAGTATTTCAATTGTATTGCTGTTATTTGTTTGAATTGTAGTGTCTGTACTATACTGTACTGTTTTTAACACCCTCCTACCCAGGGACAGCAGACGTAAATTAATTTAAATCTGCTGCTAGCTCTGGCCCCATGGTCTATTTTGCATGGTCTTTATTAAATAAATTAATAAACTAAACTAGACTATGAAGATGTTGTTGATGATGATGATGATTATTAACAATATTACATTTTTGGCTTTGGTTTTAATTAATACTTTTTCCTTACTGCATATTAAGTGATTTTTATGACACAAATTCCCCTATAAGTATCATTTTAATGAATAAGGTGTTGAGCTTATCTATTTCACAGCAAAATTCCATTTGTTGCAGAATTAATGCAGCTGCAAATATGGAAACTCATGTATATTCTTTCACCCCACAGAGGAGACAGAATTGTCTGCATAGTTCACCAAGAGTTGTCCATGGCAAGAATCAAACCCTAAAGGTTTGCTGCGTAAATGTATTGTATCAAGTCATCCCAAACTGTAGGATTTGATCTCTTCCAGCAATTAAGAAAAATGATAAAGAACAGGCCTAAACATTTTCAATGGGTCCACTGTCCAAGTCCTGATTAGCCAATAAGAATAAGAATAAGAATAAGAATAAGAACAAGAATAAGAATAAGAATACACAGTGCTTGCAAATTTAGTTACATTTGCTGCTCACATAAAGTAGTGTTTAAAGCATACTTTATGCAGACTGTGATCAAACTGGAATAACCAATAACGTCTATGTAATGGTCTCGAAGCTTGTCTGAAACCTGTCCACATATAAACGACACCCTCCCTGTCTCTGCAGCTGGAGTAATGACTGGAGCAACAGTGTTCTGTCTGACACTGAGTCTGTCTCGGTGATGTCACTGGCGGAGAATAGCCAACATGCCACACAAGGCGCCCGGGGTCGTCTGAATGCCACTGGCGGCGCCAGTGACTTAAGTGCTCATTCAAAGAAGTCGCGAGACACACCCAACTCCAACAGGGACTTGCCTTAATGTACAAGGTAATTGATTAATGAATTTTAAATTTGCGTTACAGAGAACCGTTAAGCACATGAAACTGAAAAGACTTTCAGAAGACACATACAGTTAGATTTGAACTATATATGTGTGTGTGTGTGTATATACACATATATATATATATATATATATACAGATGTGCTCATAAGTTTACATGCAAATTTCTAATTTCTTGGCCATTTCTCAGAGAATATGAACGATAACACAAAAACTTTTTTTTCACTCATGGTTAGTGGTTGGGTGAAGCCATTCATTGTCAGACAATTGTGTTTATTCTTTTTTTTAGTTGAAATGACAACAGAAACTACCCAAATGACCCTGATCAAAAGTTTGCATACCCCAGTTCTTAATACCGTGTATTGCCCCCTTTAACACCAATGACAGCTGAAGTTTTGTGGTTCTGGATAAGGCTCTTTATTTTCTCAGATGGTAAAGCTGCTCATTCTTCTTGGCAAAAAGCCTCCAGTTCCTGTAAATTCCTGGGCTGTCTTGCATGAACTGCATGTTTGAGAGCTCCTCAGAGTGGCTCAGTGATATTAGGGTCAGAAGACTGAGATGGCCACTCCAGAACCTTCACTTTATTCTGTTGTAGCCAATGACAGGTCGACTTGGCTTTGTGTTTTGGATCGTTGTCATATTGGAACTTAAGAGTGCGTC